TTTTTGCAGTGACACAAATAATTTTTGAAATGGTTATTTTAAAAAAGGTCAAAGGTAAAGGGCTGCAAATATCTTTGTTGTTTTCTAAACTTGTGCATAAGACTTTAAATTTGACAATATTTTTTAATATAAATATAAATGTGTGAATGTGTGTGTGAATGGGTGGATGACTGGATGTGTAAAGCGCTTTGGGGTCCTTAGGGATTAGTAAAGTGCTATACAAATACAGGCCATTTACCATATTTGCATTTACAGTTATGAAATATGATCATTAAACATGTTTGTGATTGTTACAGTAAAAACTTTTTCTACTCTGATTTTATGTTTTTTGTCTGATTTTAGATCAGTTGTGTTAATACAGTAACAGTAACAGTTAATACAGTAACAGTACAAAATGTCAAAATGAAAACATGACTGTAAATTCAGACGCGTGAGGTTGTGCTGAAAAGGATGATACCAAACAAGGAAAAGCAAATAGTTTTTAAAGGGAAAATGTGGAGGGAAAATCAAAAGTGGTCAAAAACAGCCAATTATACCCTGGACCCCAGAGGGTTAACATTTTTTTTAAAGTAACACAATAGTTACTTTTCCTAGTAATTAATTACTTTTAGAATCTTGTAACTCAGTTACTAACTCAGTTACTTTTTTGAAGAAGCAACTAGTAACTATAATTAATTGACAAAACAAATTTCCCACGTGTGGGACTAATAAAGGTTATCTTATCTTATCTTATCTTTTTCAAAGTAACTTGCCCAACACTGGTCATTTCTAATATGTTTTTCTCATTAAACCTTCTGCCTGACTTGCATCCCACACATATATTACCTGCTTGTCCCATCCACAGATCATGCTTCCCATGGAGAGGCCCATTCCTCTGTAACCCAGCATCATGTTGGACAGCAGCTTAGATGCAGCAGCCACAGAGATCCGATGGTTGTTTCTCAGCCGGTACAGCCTGAGTTAAAGAATAACAACACAGGACCAAATCACTATCAGAAAAATCAGTTAACCACTCAAGCCTGACTTGGGCCTGTAGCCCTTCTTAATCCATTCTGCTGATGGGTAGCACTACCTTTGGAAGCATGCTGGGTATGATGTAGCACTCATTTTTATCATTTTTGAAAATTTGACACACTATTACTGATTAGTAAAATTAACATTTATATTCATCTTTTTTAACCTACAAAAACTAAAAAAAACAACAAAAAACCTTGTAACTTCCTTAAGTGTGGCAGGGTGTGGTTTGTGGCTCATCAGCAGGTTCAGGGTGTGGTGTCAGGGGAGGCTGGACATAACTTTAAAGACTACACTAATATAAACATATTAATATACTCTTTATTAAATGGTCTGTAAAGTTTATTCTGACAGGTAGAATAGTTTAGAATAGAAAAATTAATTCAGGAGATTCAGGAACTGTAAGAAATATTCTAGTCTTTAAAATATTGAACTTGATATTTTCAAACTGTACATACCTGCACTCTTTGGCCAGGAGTCTCTCCCAGTGCTGGCAGTCTGCAGCACTACCTGACATGGTGCCCAGCAGGTAAGAGTTGATCTCTATCACCTTGTTGGCATCTTTTGATGCTGCACACACATGAGAAAAAGACTGATTCAGATACAGGAGCGCACTGAGATTCTCTAAACAAGCAATGCATGTTTTCCTGTTGTTTGAAACCAAAATTTGAAGTTGTCATTCATGCACAATATTACTTGTTTCTCTTTTCACCAACGAACTCTGAGCACAGATTAAGCTTTTGTGAACATCATTTCTCTCAGAGAAGAAAAGGAGGTTGGCTGTCCGTAGTATGACCTGTTTTCTGATACAGATCATCCAGAAACTTAATGCTTAGGTTTTGGTAAATGAAATTTTAAATATTTTATATATATGTTTCATAATACTAAGAAACTAATACTACAGTCTATGGGGGCAAGTTGCTAACACTGGCTGGTAACTTATCAAAACACAGTTACTTATCACTCCAGAAAATCAAGATGGTGGCGGTGAAAACGCTGATGTGGATGCTTCAAGATGTATAATTCACAAACCATCAAGTGACGTCACAGGGGCAACATCTATCCGTTATATGACAACAGTGATGATGAGTAGATCTATTAATATTGGCATGTTTTTCAAACGCAGGGAACTTTTAAATGCTTATTGGTAAAACCTCAAGTAGGATTCACTTGTCTGACCAACCGGTGAACTTATTAATGTCTTTTGTCATCAATAACTCTGCTAATAAAAGAAAATCATTCTCTGCTCCGTAGAAACATTTTCACAGAAGCACTACAGCTCTGAATATTTTTTAGACTTAACCGAAGGAGCTGTAAGGAAAACCCTTCCTCCACATGTCAATGCTGGGCCCATGTGAGAATACAGTTAACTGTCCAGAGACTTCACAGTGAGGGAGTTGATTTCCTGCTGGTATCTATGGTAAACCCTCCAACCACTAATGCAACACTTACATACTTTTAATCAGATACTACAAACATATTATCACCAATGTCAGCCTGTCAGATTCTGCTTGCTTGGAAAGAAATGGACACAGTACTTTGTAGTTATAGTTCAATTCATTATGAGGAAAAGCATTTTTGTGTAAAGTTAGTTTAATAAACAGTGGGAGTGCACAATAAATAATATAGAGCTCTTTCTTTAATTCTTTGAATTACCAAGTTTTATTTGAAATGGTTGGTATTAGTATCGGTATTATTAGTTGTCTATTGTGACCAGTTAAATAAGAAATTATAGCTTAACATTCTTTTCTTGTTGATTCAGTAACATGGTATCCCTATGCAGACCCTTCTAATAGCCTGTATCAAAATGTTTTTACTTGTATTATTCAGCATGTTTGCTCCGGACAAGAGCAGAATATAAAGCAACATCTCCACAGACTGTGCCCCAATGTACGAATGCAAGATTAGGAGCAAAGTCTATCAGCAAAATCAGTTATTCATCATACCTAGGTAGTTTCCTGCTGAGGCTCTGGAGTCCACTGCCACGATGACTCCGTGCTTGAATTTGAAGGCCAGGGTGGTGGTACCGTGGTTCATTTCAATGCACACGCCTCCGTCATGGTTGCAGGACTTCAGAAACCCTGAAGGCTGTAATGAAACCAAAAAGGGAACTAATGGTCTGTAATGGTTCTGAGTATGCTAAACAGAAAGTAAGAGACCATATCTAGCATATGAAAAATGAAATTAAACAGATCGTAAACCCAAACTTTATCCATAGACCCTAACATTGTGAAGGTCTCTGCTTACAACACCAGAAGCGGAGAGACGTGTAAAGCGTTATTACACCGAGTTTAATGTTTGGATTGTGTAGCTGATTTTAAAAAGGGGGAGAAATGTTAATATTATACTCACGTCCACACCCGGAGGGACGGCAAACTCCTGGGTTTTAGTGCCAAAGTTGTAGTGGTTGGTTCGGTCTACAAGATGCGTCAATCCTGCTGGAAGAATCTGTTCACGGAGTTCACAATATTTTTTATAACCGCTCACATCAAAAATAGCCATCGTGTGTCCTAAAGTTGGGAGGAATTTAACTTTGTATTTAACACAACGGCCTCAAAATCAACCAAACGACGGTGAAGTCGATTGATTCGCAGTACGAATGATTTCCTCGTAGCTTACGCGACAAAGAAATCGAAAGTGAAAGTTTTTTTAAAACTCTTCATCGGTGCAGGATTGTTTTGTTTTTTTCAATTTTCTAATGAAACAAAACAAATTCAAGCAAGAAGTAATGCTCTGATGTTTCCATCCTAAGTCCCATTAACCTAAAAATTGGAATCTTAATATTCTATCGAAGTTCAACGATCAATTTAGATTTCAGCCAATAGGAAGGCTTTATTCTTTTACACAATCAGTATCTAAGCGGAAGCGCAGCCGACAGGTTTTTGGGAAAACAGCGCAGATCAGGGACATTAACGCATTTGATCAAATACAGCATGTAATGTGTTTAATTAATGGTGTAGAAGTAAATGTAACATTCCTTTCGTATTATAACTGTTATTGTTAGTTCATGTCTGTTGTTTGGAGGATCAAATACCACCGTGTACTTAAAAATAATAAGAGAAAGAAACACCAGGAAGCATCATAGTGTATCATAAATTTTATTTAAAGTTTTTATCAGCAGTCAAACCCATGAAACCAGTGTCAGTCACATGTTTGCCACATAGATCATTTATGTTCAAGTCGTGTGGTTCTGTGCTGAAATTCAGGCCGTCTCCATCTTCTGCACTGTTTCCTGCACAACCTCCAGCTTTAAGGGGACGACTTTCTCTGTCAGAATCGGTGTTGCTCCTGGTGGATATTTGTATTTTGTTTTCCTGGGAGAAAGAAGAAAGATAATCTTACATTTTCTACACAGGGAAACTATTGTGCGCAGAATACATGTAATCCAAATTCACACTTTCCCTTTATGTTCCTGCATAATAAGAGTGGACACCAATGTGCTGTTATAATCACATATTGGGAGCTTGGAAAAATATTTTTACAGCTTTTACAACTGTCATGTGCTGCATGTACAGCATAAACGAATAGACAGTCATGGTTAAATACTCATGTCAAACCATAGTTTTGTTTTTTTAACTGATAAATTGTTCATTTTTAAGTTTCTTCTCCTTTTAAGATGATGAACTAAGTCATACTGATACATACGCACCTCTTGTCTTTGAACTGGGACTCCCGGTACGGTCTGATGTAGTCCACTCCTTGTTTGGTGATGACACAGATGTCGATGTTGTTGCCTGAGCCGAGGTCGTTCATGATGCCTGCTTGAATAGCAGCTCGCACCAGCTCCTTCGCCGGCTCCAGCTGAGAGAGGACAGAAATTACATGAAGAAAAAAGCAAACAGAACACAAAGCAGGAAAAAGAGTCAACTGTGAGCTTTTAAATCCAGCTGCAACAACTTCCAGATGGCTGCATGCATTTTCTGATAGTTGTGAAAGACACAAAGGACAGGGATGAACTGTTTTATTATACAAGTACAGTATCCTGCCACACTGCAGTTAAAGATCCACAAAAATGAATTGAAATAATTCTTTGATCAAGTTTAAATGAGCAGCTGTCATTTCACAGTATTTATACCACTTTTTTGTGTTTTTTATTTCTGGTTTACCTCCAAGTCAGGTTTGAACCCATCCTCTAAAATCCCAAGAGCAGCCAGATCTCCAGATCCTGCATGAACACAACATAAAGTCAGCTAAACACAGACTGCGAATGACTCAAATACCTGTATGATGTCATTTATATTAGTAACAATAACCCATTGCTGACATTTTTATGTAGCTCTTATATGTTGGACTGAACAGCCAGAGACAAAAGGATTATAGAAACACTAATCCACTATCCCAATAAAAAGACTATTACTGTTACTGAATGCAGTTATATCACATACCCATTGAAAGGTAAGGCACCTTATTTACACTCCCATATGGCCCCACAGTGTACAGGTGGCTCCCGGTGCAATCCACTCCCCCGAGGATAAGATTGGCCCCAATTTGACCGTGGTACCTGAGACCAAACATATATGATTAAAACAAACTTCTGTTACTAATTTAAAAATCTTCATTAATGGTAAACTCACCTCCAAGTCCTAAAAACACACCTGAGTGTGTGCAACACTCACCTGTAAAGCATGTCCTGCAGTATGTTAACGGCCATGACGACACGAGGGTTCCTCCCACTGTTCAGAGAGTAGATGGTGAGGTTGGAGGACAGAAGGTCTGTGGTCTTCTCTGTATCTGCTGCTGTACCTGCTCCACAACAACTATAGACACACAGAGACAGAGAACAGATGAGTTAACAGACGAAAAACAAAACACAAAGGATGAATTAGCAAGTTGGGGATAATGAAAGAGAGAGAAAAACCAAACAATGACTAGAGAAAAAGATCATCATACAAACAATGGGAGGACTCTGTTCTTCTCCCACAACAGCCCTAATATCCCAGAATATCATCAGTAGCATGAAGCTATTGTAATCTACTACAGCTGCTTCGTTTGAATGTTTTATATGAACAGAGGATGCTATGTCATTCTTTGCTCTTCACATGTAACAATGTATTAAATTGCTTAAGCATAAGTTTAACGTATAAGTGTGAGTTAATGGTAAAATGAGCTGTTCAAAGAACAAATGACAGCAGTTTACCTGAAACAACTGGATGAAAATAACTGTGAGCGAGTCAAGAGTTATTTCTCTGCTCATGGAACTTACTATATATTTGGAGAGATGTAATGGATTTTAGCGCACATTTTGTCGGCCACCACTTCACCAGATGTAGCTCTGGTATCTGCTCCCAGCACCACCCCATCCTGTAGAAACACAGTCACTTGAATCATATTCATGCGCCTGACAATCATTATGTTAACAGCTCCATAAAGTAAATGTTCATAGAGCCTTTGAATTAAGAAAAATAAAACATTTTGTAGTTTAGTGTTTAAGTTTCTCTAGTAGAATAAATACAAAACAAAGGCAGCCATGGGAACGAGTTAGTTTGTTATCCTTTTAGAAACAGTGGTTTTTGTATTTGGACTAAGACACACAAAGTTAATGTTTTTGTTTATTCGTGTTTTTGTCAGCGCAGTGTCCCACAGTTATACTCACCTTGAACACCACTCCTGCGATGGTGGTCCCGGTTTTCATAGGTTTGGGAGTTTTTCCTCCATCAAAGAGACCCTTTAATGCAGCGTTTCTATAAGGAGGAAGATGAAGAAAAGAGAGAGGAGGGGTCAGGGGTGCTGAGTGTGTGGTGCGTGTGTTTGTGCTGGGCTGGGGTAAAGCAACTTTTCAATAGCTACATGTTGAAAATATACTTGTAATAACCGTAAACAAAGGTCTTTGTCTCTGCGATTAATCTGATATAAAATCAGGAAACGTTAGTTTCGTTTTTGATCTCGATGTAAGTTCAGTCTTACCGACGGTTTCATTTGATTTCTGTCGTCACTGATTCAGTCTGCAGCTCCGAGAACATTAAAAGAATCTCTTACCTTCCTGCGTTGTCGAAGTTAAAGCCAGGTGCGGGAGTTTCGAAGACATTTGCTAGCGCCATTGTGGAGGTGAGTGCGGCTCCTCTGCGCGTCGCTCGGAGCGCCTGAGGTCGCTGTTCTGAGCGTCAGCTCTTCCTCTCTTTCGATTTTGGGGTTAAAATGGAGAAACACTGCACGGACTCACGAGTCAAAGGAGTCAGCACAGGGGTAAGTAAACCTGCACCAGGGGACGAGTGTTTTTATCTAAAGATGAAACACAGAAGTCATCGTGTGTAAAACAGGAGGTTTGAACTCTAGCCGATGTCGTGTTTGAACAGGTGATGCGTTTACCTGAACACGAAGCTAAAACTAACTGAAACCACATCACCTGGTTATCTAACTAATAATGTTATCAGTAAATGTTAACTTCTAAACTATGAGCTCGTTTGCTTTTAGAGTTTTTAATGCAGAAAACTGTCAGCTATACTTTCATTTTCACAGCCTCATCATTTTCTGAACTCCAAATCCCAGAATTCATAGCGTTGCTCAGTCTTCATGAATGAACAGGAAAAAAATGTTGTTATGATGCGGTGTACCTCAATGATAGTTTTTAAACAAATATGACTAAATTATCTCCTCTCCTCCCTCAGACCACCATCCTGGCGGCCGTTTTTGATGGCGGGGTTGTGATTGGTTCAGACTCCAGAGCTTCAGTGGGAGAGTAAGGGTTTTATTTATGCAGTTTAACTGTAAATTAAAACATAATCACACTGCAGGGACGCTCATTCACTCCCTGTTGTGGTAAACGTGGTAAAGAATAAAACTGTTTCATTGAAATTTAATCTGCACGAGTGGTCTGCGCTGTGGCTTAGCTGGTCAAAGTGCCTGTCTAGTAAACAGGAGATCCTGGGTTCAAATCCCAGCAGTGCCTTCCTAAGTGCCTCGAGGTGACTTTTGTTGTGATTTGGCGCTATATAAATAAGATTGAATTGATACAATTTTGTACTTTTCTTTTCATCTGTTTCATCGCCACCGAAGCCAGTACCTTATTTTCCAGTATAAACACATCTGCACCAAAATTTTATTTGTATAAAGTTTAATCAAATCTGGTTTTGTAGTTTTTGTGTAATTTTACTGACAAGTGAAAAAATAATCACATACACTGGGTCCCAGGCTTAGGCCACTTCATACTTTCCTGAGGGTCTGTTTCGGTGCTTTTTGATGTAGATTTTGTCATCAAAGGGATGGACAGCTGTGGATACCAAGGACAAGTAGTTATTGTTATTTTTTATTGTTATTTTCGAGGCCACATGCTTGCTGACAGTAGGCAGCCAGAGTTTGTATGCGTGGAAAAGTCTGGAGGTCACTATAAATAAGCGTGGAGCGTTGTGCTCCACCTTTAAAGAGAGAACGTACGTGTCTTGGTCCTAGATGGATGTGAAACAGGTGCAGGGCAGGGGTATGTCTAAGGTAGTCATGGCACGGCACCAGCACCTCCTGAAATGGGTTGACCCCCTGTCAGTGCCAATGGACTGTTAAACCTACAGTGCCAAACTCATTGGATAAGACCATGAATATGCTTAGTTTACATGTAAGCAAGTATTTTTACTCAAGTACTTTACTGAACTACAGGTTTAATGTTTTTTTACTGAAAGTGTTTCTTATAAACCCAAGTAGTACGGTATAAAAAATGCTGGCAGCAGTGCCCCTCAGCACTGGAATAGGTGCACCTGTGATTTAAATGTGAAAATCCTATATCACCTCATTGTTGAGTTATCACATTCACATACTTTGATGTCCACACCATCTGCTACAGCCACAGATTACACATCTCCATGCTGCAGCTATGTGTGTCGTGTCAAACACTCAACCACTGTTCATTCCAACTTTCTCCTCAGGGAGTATGTATCGTCTAAGGCCATCAACAAGGTGATTCAGGTTCACGACCGGATCTTCTGCTGCATAGCTGGTTCACTTGCAGATGCTCAGGCCATCACCAAGGCTGCAAAGTTCCACCTGTCCTTCCACAGGTATGCACACAGCACAGGTTTAAATTACTTTGCTCAACAGTTCAAGTTCCATGAGGTTTGTGAGATCACAATAATAAGATAATGAATCCACCTTGCCAAACTTCAGACTTGTAGTGGACTGGTGCAAACACAAATGTTTGTACCAGTCAGCCTCTACGGGCATGACCAAAGTTGTTCTTGTCCCCAGTTGGTCCAGAGTTGTTCGTGTAAGCACTGCAGTGGCTTCAGTTAGACCTGAATTGGAAAGTATTTCTTTGTTTGAAGAAGAGAAAAAACTACAATAAT